GAGGTGGCCTCGCTGTTTTTGGGTGCCTCCTCCGTCAGGTAATCGACTGTCATCTGTTCAGATGCTTCGACTTCCTTTTCGAGACCCATGGTGGCCTTGGGGTCAAATCCACTTCAGGTGGCTCGACTTCCAAGGACCTAGGGTCTTCAGAGGTACCCTCTGCTTCTTTCTTTGTTACCCTAATAGTCAGTGAGGAAAACGCGTAGCTCAACCTCATCGACTTCTTCTTTAGGACAGCCATGTCATCGTCTCTGTTCCCGAAGACGGAGAGGTGTCCTTATGGGTTCATCTTAGGCTCATGATGGAAAGTACACCATCTTGCTACCGTCAGGTCAAGGTTCTGCTCCTTCAGCCGACCCAGCACCCTCTCCTTTTCACCGGATGTCGTCTTGTGGACGTCCTCCGGGATCCAGAGTGAGGCTTTGGTAAGCTTTGGGAGCTTATCCACAATGACGACCGCAAGTGATGCCTCCTCCAATGGCTTAATATTCACAATGACCATTACACCAGGAGAGAAATTGTTTGATTAGGGAAAATACATTTCATTCCTTAATGAAATTTTTTTTCGTTTTTATTTTAATTGAACAGCGACAGGTTATTACGCCAATAAATGAAAGAGATTCGTTGAAATGAAACTCTCAATTATTTTCAATTACACTTCAGTTCGTCGTTCAAATGAAGGTGATTTGACATTTGAATCCAATATATCTTCAGAAACAGGAAGGACAATCAAAATCAATATTACAGTCAACATTCAAATCTGAATTCGAATGGATGAAATTGAAACATGTTATCTGACTCTGTTGACAATATTTTTCGTTTCTTCGAATTTTTAAAGATTCGGATTACTTTGGTTTTCGATATCAGATAAGGTCAATTTGAGGAAACCAAGATATCGAACAGTATTTTGAGATGAAAATGAGTGAAACTGCAGTAGTCATTCAATAATACGATATATAATTGTGATAATTTTATTTTTGTAGAGATGCGAAACTTCCTGGTGCTGCAAATAGACCAAAACAATTACGTTCATAATGAGATGATCATAGTAATAATTTCTGAATTATTTATACCTACTAATATATTGTTATCATCTTAATGATGGTTGTTATGAGATATCATACAATATGTTCAAAATAAGAAGGGTCAGCATTGGAAAATCTAAAACCGGAAAATCCATATTTCATATATTTTAGATTATATCATGTTCTCATTTGATCTCCATATAATATTTCGTGCTGTGGACACGTTTTTATGTAATTAAACTTTGGTTAAGTGTGTTCGTTCCCCATTCTCCAAAGAGCAAGATTTTTCCGCATATGTCTTAAAGTTCTGTGGTAGTCCTTAAGCGTTCGCTTAAAGCTAGGAGGAACACCAGTCAGATTTCTCTCCATGCAAAGAAGAAGCGGTTGAGGCTTTTCGACCATGGGTGAAGAGGTCAGGTATACCCCAATCAAGAAGAAATTGATAGCAATAATTAGTGGAGTTTGCGAAAAAATAGAGAAGGCTCCTTAATAAACGTAAGAGTAATCAAAGTGGAAAATGAGCATCCAAATATGGGAATTAGAGAATGAGAATAGATAAGTGGGAATGGAAAGTATGGTTGCAAGAGTGAAATGATATGTAATTACTCAAAGGGAAGATATCTATAGGAAGAATTATCCAAGAGAAGATCCCAAGGGCCTAATTCTTGAGTCATGAGAATCTTTTTCCACTAGGAAGTCGAATATAATATTATTGGGAGTTAAGGAATTGGAAGATGTATTGACAGTGAAGAGGAAGAAGTAACGTAGGAAAGATGGTGGTAATAATGGAAAGACACCGTTGCCAGCTGAATATGATATCAACTAAAATCGGTGAAAGAATGGGAGGTAATGAACTGGAAAAACGGATATTTGAGGTCAAGAGAGTACACACGAGTGAGGCAAGAAAGCGAAGACCGTCTTGGATGAAGTTTTTGGAATTCTGGAGCAGAACATTGTGGAACTAGGTTGAATTGAGGAAGTAGATGGGTAGTTCAAGAGCAGCTGAGACTGAATTGAATAACAATATTTGGGTGAGACGGAGGTAAAAATCTAACTATTGGAAAAAAGATCGAAAAACAATTCCGATTATGTGAACTATAATGATAATTGATCTGAGCTGGACCTCTCGTATTGGTCTGAGCCGTAACAGAATGCATTGGTATCGGTAAGTGAATACGTAGTATTCCAGTAGTGGAATACGTAAAGACAAGCTCGAATGAAATCGCAGACCCAACAAAGCAGGAGCCCAGATCTAAAAAGAGAACAAAGAAGTCAAAATCAAGTAAAATTCTGGAATTACACGAAAGCATAAAGAAGAAAGGAGGAGAAGAGAAGGCACAAACAATTGAAAATCGATCCAAGATGAAAACGAAGGGAGCGAACTGAAAACCTCAAGTGTACCACTTTTCTCTTTGGAATGGTTTAGTGCAAATACCATGCGGACACATCTGTCGTACTACATACTACATTTTACAAAAATATCTAGGGTCATATCAAAGTTATCATGAAATCTTGTTATTTCAGCCCTCTGTAGCTTGAAAGTTATAAGACCTTCAGAACATATGTTCAAATGAAGTTTTTTCTCAAAGTGATACTTTCCAATAGAGCAACATCCTGTATAACGTAACACTGAATTGAAATAAAAAAAATTGTGAGCAGTCACGGGACGCCTAGCAGATGTGAAACATCAATAATAAAATTTTGTGATCCCTGTGATGATTGTTTAGTACTGACATTATAAAAAATATGCAATTAAAATATACATGAAAAAAATTAATGTTAAACAATATATACGCGGTCTTAATGCACAGATAAATGTGGCGTAGTATTTGCTTTCTTTGCAGGAAGCTGCTCACTTCCTCTTTCTAAAGTATCACTGTCAGACATATTTTATTTTTAATATTTTCAAAATTATTTATTTAGTAAAACACAGGTTTTGTATTTTATAGTGAACACAACTGTATACACTCTAGGTATCCGAGCTCAGTGTGGCGAGAGAGATACCGCAATTCCGAACTAGTGGGAAGAGAATCGCACAGTCGCTTGCGCATAGCGAACCGTCGCCACGCCAGCAATCGGTTTTACGTGCCGCTATAAATTTTTCACGTCAAAAATCAGTGGATGAAGTTGACATAGTGTTATTTTTCGTTTGTTTCAGAAAGAATGCCCTTGTGCAGTCGACTTCTCCTAGTAATGGCAACGCTGACTATCACGTGCCTGGTATTGTCACATCAGCTTCCCGTTGACTGTAACAAGCCTCTTGAACACATGCAGGGTGAAATAATAGACATGTACATCCAGTGTGTTAAATCATTGACCAGCGACCAAAGGTAAAACATACATATAGTTCTAGATGATTAACTAAAAAAATTCAACAGTAGGTATTTCAAAACCAAGTTACTATGAAATGAGGATACACTACAAAAACACACTTTTGTCTATTTTCCACGATATTTCTTTATTTTTGACTAGTTTCGGCTATTACACCATTTTCGAAACTAACTGATCTGAGTAATTTATATCTAAGTTGCCTATCCTATCATAAATAATTTGGTACCTACATTTTCTATACCTGTAATATCCATGAACATAACAAAACAAAGCTGGATTATAGATTCAGGAGAGGACTATTATTTAGATCAAGTTGTTCATTGAGGACAATAGAATTGGGACTTGTTTATTTCCATAGATTCCAAAAAATTCATTTTCCCTTTTTCGCATGTGTGAAGGATCTTTAAATTATCTTTATCTATTTTATGTTTCGAATTTTGAAGATGTTCATACATTAATGATTTTTTTATCCGAAATGACATGTTCATGGTACCTTGTATCAAAATGTCTACCAGTTTCTATCAGTATATATGGCGGGGCATTCACCACATTCTAGTCGATATATACCAGATCTCTTCCCTTTGTCTAATTTAGGTTTGACATTAAATAATCTGTTTCCCAAATTTCCGTTGGATGTGTAATATTCACAGATTGCACAATACCTATTGACTCTTTTAACTCGCATTCACAGGCCAATGATACATAGGACTTTCACAATACCCCTTTCTGATCAAAACCTCTGAAATGTAATCGCAATCGTTAAACAAATAACATTAAATAAATAACAAACTACCTACCACTCTAGTTAACAACATTATAACGAAATATCAACAAAAATCAATGATGAAAGAACTATATTCAATTTCCACAATGTCTTTGACATATATAGCTTCAACAAGATGGCAGTTATCAATTTCCAACGTTCAGAAGCTCTTGTTGAAAGACCCTATATAATCTCTGTCGTGACCCCAACTGTAAGGGTCATTCATCTGTATTTGGAATACACTTTTTCTCCTCCTTTCTTATTCTAGAGGGAGAGGTAATAAGAAAAGGGAAAGAACCGGGAGAAGGTTGGGATTTCCAAACATGCATAACTTGGAGATCCTTTCATTTTCCCAAATGCTCTTTGAATCAATGTTGAAGTATGTTTTTGAATTTGAGTTCATCATCGATAAAAACTCCCAGATTTTTAACCTGATTTGCAACCGGTAAAACAGTGTCATCAATTTTTATGAACAGATCGCCAAGTTTGAACCTTGTGACTTTCCTTCCAAATACAACTACAAAGCATTTTTTTTGTTCCTTCGATAAATTAACGAATTGATTCAAATCCTCACTAAGGATATTTTCGCTTTGCTGTACAATCAGGGGTAAAAAAAATACCACTATGTATCATCGGCATACATATGTTATTTGAGTTTTTTCAAAAAGGTTTTCAAATGGGAGGTGTGAATTATGTAGAGTAGAGGTCCAAGGATTGAACCCTGTGGGACATTTGAAAAAGTATTCTTGAAATCTGACATGTGGTTCTCCACTCTAACAATTTGTTGTCTATGTGTTGTCTATGTCTATATACTTTTCAATGTATTTGATGTAATGAGCCTGAGTATAATCAGCCTTTTCCCAGACCACGCCTGAGCCTTGTTCATTGATACGAATTTTTACTTACTACGTTTGTTTAGAGAACTAGCTCTGTTTCACTACCTCTGATTTGACGTTGTTTTTTATGGCCATCGTGCTATCTGGACTGATACTAAATATTTCCAACTCCTAGGTTGTATTTATGTGTTGATTTCCTGTGAAGTTTATGGATTTTTTTGGTAGACAATTTTGACTTAAATAGCTGGATGCCAATAATACTAACAATATTCATTCCTGGGTTCCTTTGTAGTTTCATAATGATGTAAAATCACATGAAAATAATGGCATCAATATAAGGGGATAATTGCAATTTCTCAGTTTCCTTTTTCTCAGAGTTGAGAGGTCAGCAATAACTTCTAAAAACTTGTTTCGGCAATAATTCGATTTAGCCAATTTTTCATATCATATCTCAATCTAGCTAGAAGCTTATTTATTATAATGTATAAGTTTATACTCGTATGTTCAGCCATTTATTCAAAAAAATTAAATAAACATATCAAATAAATGTTTGTTTCATTTGTGTTTCATGTATGTGTTTAACAGTATTTATTTTATTTTTCGATAGGTATGGAAAACGATCTTCACCGAATCACAGTACCTTCCTGAAGAAACTTCATCCTCGGCTTTTCCAGAACTTCGCTTACCAACCCAGCCAGAACCTTCAGAATTTGCAAGATTTCTACCAACTTTTCAAACAGGATAACAACTAATAATATCAAGATAGCCTAAAACTTTTTTTATTTCAATCTTAACCACTCAATAAAATTGTGCAGTATTATTTTATACGGTTGACTGGTGTGTCATTTTTCTTTTGTTATTTTGGTATGGCTTATTTATGGTTGATAGTTCAAGGAAGATGATAAAATAAATGAATTGAATTTTTCGATATTTTTCTGTTCCATTGGTATGGTGTCATGAATTGATATTCACAATTTCTAGGGAGTAAATATTCTGCAATTTTTGTGAAATGATCAATTGCAGAATTGAAGAAAAACATCAAGTGTAGAAAATATGAAAGATGGACAACACTTGGTTGGTTTTGGCATATCCAAACAATAAAGTTCGACAATTTTATGGGAGCGCCGTATATCGCTTTTGTCAAAATAGTGCGGAAAGTACTTATCTTGAAAGAGAAAATATTGAGAAATGTTATACCCAAAAATTGAATGAGTTAAAATTCTACTCTTGAACCCATCATAAACATCTAAGCGACTGGATGAATGTTTCCAACTCAGGAAGATATATGAATTACTATTCTTTTCATAAAAAATCAACGAACATTCATTCAATACTTTGTTTGAAAAAAAGATAAGAAAAATTAGAACACCCTTCTCTCAAGCAAAAAAATCTCATACTTCTTAGAGACACATTGATCGAAAATTCTTGTCCCAGAAAACTTCACACTTATGAAATTTTCAATACTAGCAGTAAGACAAATTCAATTTTTCTTATAAATCTATACCTACGTCATGAAAATGTATCTTCAAATATCATAAAACTTTTCCATAATGAACAAAATATCAAAATATGTCAAAAAATATTTGGTCAAAATCAATATATCTTCTGATTGAATGAATAATGTATTGATAATCTCAGCAACATATATAGTACCTAACTTACTGGAACTACGCCAAAGACATTATAAAAATGAGAATCGTATTAATCGATACTTATCTTTCTAGAGTTAACGATTATCCTATCAAATCATCACTATTACTTCTTGTCATCAATTTATATGTTTAATGCATTCTTTTGTACTCAATTTTATTGTACGAATAATTTTATAACGTTAATCAAAAAATCCAGAAGAAAGCTTAGCAAATGATTGTTCGTACTATAATTAATGACTTCAGTTTGAATATTTCACTCACTCTATCGGCCGATGTGTCGGCCGATGCTTCAAGCCGCAGGCTAAACGATCGATATTCACTTGCTATCGTCCAACCCGTGTTATGAATCTCACGTTAAAAGGTGAGACCTCGTTAGTCCTAAGCTCCCACAAGTTTTTACTTCTGAGGGTTGTCTTTCGTAGGGGTGCGACAGCTGATTAAGTAAGGCTAGGTCCAAAGTGAGTGGGTTTATTCGACCTTCCATCGCAACCCGCGAGGGTTTATTGTGGCTTACACCTATTCACATTCGATCAAATAAACCCAGATTCTTAACGAAGCCGATTAGTTTGTATGGTGAGTGATTTTTCAGGTGAGATGGTTAGAGTGCGGCTCTGCCGAACTCTAAAAACCTGAACCTATATTGTCGTCTAATAGAGGAACATTTTCCTCTTAAAAAAATGTCCTGTGAATCGTCACATAAAAACCCTCTCAGGTGGTTTAATGACGGACTGAGAAAATTAAGGGACACAGTTCGCGCAGTTAAGATAATATACGACACGACAAATGATCCTGTTCATAAGCAACATTCAAATTGATCAACAGTAAATATCAAAAAGCCATTATCGAGTCGAAAAAAACGGCATACGATAAATTTATTAAGGAATCCGACAATAAAATCAGAGAGCTGGAGGCTGATCAATTTTGAAAAAGGCAAAGCAGCATCTCAAGTAGCAACTGACGTGATCACACCGCACGAATTCAATTCATATTTTACTACCATTGCCGAAACCATAGTAAGTCAACTACCACACAAAGTTAACGAAAACTCTTTGACATCACTTGATAATGGTCTTAAACCTACCTTATCTGGATCCTTTTTTTTGAACCCATCACTTCATCTGAAATTTTCAATGCTATAAATGAGGTAAAAAACTCCAATTGCCTTGATGTGTTCAATCTTAATAGTAAGATTTAAAGGAAACATGCACATATTTGATGGAACCTCTTACGTTCATTTACAATTCTTGTATTAGCGAAGGATGTTTCCCAGACAAATTCAAAATCAGTAAAGTCATCCCAGTTTTCAAAAAAGGTGATAAAAATCTTACTGAAAACTACCGTCCTATTTCCATCGTTCCCATTTTTGGAAAAATTTTCGAGATAATCCTAAACAAAAGGTTATACCTCTATTTTGAAGGAAACAATCTTCTGAACACTAACCAATACGGTTTCCGCAAGGCCTACTCGACTGTTCAAGCAGTAGCTCGGGTTGTAAGGGATATAGTTGACGGTTTTGAAAAGGGTCATCACAGTGCTGTGACACTTTGTGATTTGAGTAAAGCATTCGACTGCGTTTCTCATACAAATTTGTTACTTAAACTGGAAGAATATGGAGTCAGAGGGGTAGCACTTTCACTTTTTTCATCGTATTTAATGAATTGAAAACAGCTCGTTGATCTAGGCAATAACAGCCGATTGAGCTCGGAGTTCCTCAAGGGTCTGTGCTGCGGCCTCTTCTATTCATAATTTATATCAACGATCTCTTCTATGAATTATTACCTTACACATGTGTCATTTATGCAGATGACACATCGATCCTGTGCTCTGACAACAACTGTCAGAATCTGCTCGCAGCCATGGAACTTGCAGAAAGACAAGTTGAATCGTGGTTCAATTCAAACCTATTGAAACTTAATAAGAAAAAAACACAAAAAATAATTTTCTCGACTAATAATAATATTTCTGTGAGCAAAACTGTCACCTCATATAGAGGTATTAAACCAGAAGCTCTCGAAATATTTATTTTTACTTCGACAATTGAGAAACTTTGTTAACATAGAGACTCTTATTTCAGCTAATTATGCATTTTTTCATTCTCACGTCAGCTATGAAACTCTACTCTGGGGTACCTCCTCCAATGTCAGAAAAGTTTTTACGCTTCAAAAGCGTGCAATTAGAATTATTTTGAACGTAGGTTTCCGTGATTCATGCAGGCCATTTTTCAGAAGACTAGGCATTATGACGGTACCATTTATTTTTATATATCAGACACTTTTGGAAATACATAAGACCATAGATACATTTTTGACCAACTCCAAATTTCATGGGAGCTAATCTTTTGAGACCTCACCGGTTCAATTTACAAAAATCCTCTAAGAACTCACTCGATGTCAATCTATATAATATTCTGCCATCTAGTATCATAAGTTTACCCTTGCCAAGTTTCAAAAAGCGCGTCAAGGACCATCTAATGAAACAAAGTTTTTATAGTGCGGAGGAATATATTGCCACAACATCAGTGCTTGAAGAATTTTTATAATATACTATGTTTATTATTTTATGTTTACTTTCTTTGTGAAATTGTATGTACATTTTATTCAATTACTTTTCTGTATATTTTATTTGATAATGTTTTTTCTTTATAATTTACTGTTACTGTTTCATGTTCAGTTATGATGTTCATCTACATGCTGTACCACCGACTTGCTACTAATGTACCGTTATACCTATACCGTAGTGAACTAAATATCTATCTATTTCTCTACAAAAACGACACTCATTTGTAACTTATGTTGGGTCCCAATTTTGGTTTATGGGCTTGCTGGCCCCTTTCTAGTGGACTGTATACTATTGAATAATGCGACGTAGGTAATTAGGTAACACACTTTATTCTGTCACACCTAGTTTACAGATTTCACAGAATGTCGAATACGACAATTGATTTGATCTGTTTAATTTGATGTGAGAAACACTAAGCTTATACATGAGAACCTTTGATATTCTCCACAATAAACTAACACTTTGTACTTAACTACAAATACATCTAATAGACCTTTCTTACATTATGCTAAAACCGTACTGTCTTAAACGAGATTACTGTTAAGCGAGAGGTAAGGAAAACAGGACACACGCTATTGGTTCCCGAAGGTAGGTAGGTATCCCTTGACAACTAGACTTGACAATTACCACAGTGGCATAACAGTGTTTAAGGCAACTCATTTTTAAATTTTATTTATATTCCCAACAACTTGTATTTGCCTAGATTTGGTTTTTCTATACATAAAATCATGAACAAACTCCTTCATCGCTAGTACAAACATTCTTATTAGAATCGAAGAAAGGGCTGTTATCGGGACAGGGCATCACAATGGCAAAGCCCATACTGCAAGTAATGAAGAGTTTGCAATCATCATAATGGCCATTTACGAATACATCGTTAGGTTTCTTCGAACAAATATCATCTGGAGTAATTATAGGTTCATCTGGTTTCATAGAAGTAGTTTCTTGCTTTTGGTTATCATCCTTCTTACCACTTCCATCTTCTGTAGTCTTTACTCTATCCTGAAAAAGAACACTCAAATTGAAAATATGTCTCGATAAACGGAAACGTTTCGTTGCTTCTGCGTTATTGAACTAAATTTCTGGATAATCACAAAAATGGTACTTCTTTATTATTTGGACAAAAATAAGATTTCATCATAAAAAAGAGCGGTGTCTCGTCAATACCGTAAGAGTGCCTTAGATGGTAATATAGCACTCTGAGGGCCGCGTTCTGTCGATGGATATAGGCCGAGACCGCATATGCTGGACATGTTGATAGCAAGTGCATTAGGGTCTCGGGCGCCTCGCGGCAGGCCCTGCACCTTGTGTCAGGAACCTTTATACTTATTACGCGACTGCGGTAGACTAAGGTGTTGAAGACACCATTCTGACAAGCCATGATGAACCCCTCAGTTTCCGACTTCAGCCCACAAGACCTGAGAAAAGCGAACGACAAACGCTTTGATAAGCCAAGGTCTTCAATGTTATTGAAGAAGACCCCATGCATTGAGTGGGTGAGGTTATCTCTGCGACTTTTATCTGAGCTTTTTGCTGAACGGGTTCCAACTTGGTGATCTCGTTCAGTGTCGAAAACTATACCGAGTTCTTCATCTGCTCAGGCAGCTGCCCTAAGGAGAAATGCTCTAATTCCTGCTCTCTCATGGCCACGGACCATGCAGAGAAGGGGATCCGAACTCCTGACGACTTTACAGGCTGTATCCAGTGCCATGTAGACACTCCAAACTCAAAATTCCACGGCCTTCCTGTTGTCGGGGGAAATACAACCGTGGAACGGACGATTTGGAATGCAAAGTCCTATAGAGATGTATCATTTTTCGGGTCGAGTTGATACAGCTCCTCCCGAGTCCACATCACTACTCCAATCGAGTAGAGTAAGATTGGAACGGCAAGCATATTTGTTGCAGCAACTCTGTTCTTCCCCGACAGTTCCGATAACCAGATCTGTCGAAGTTTGTGCTGATACTTGCCGCGGAAAGAGTTCTTCACTGCTGTTACCTCTTGTGAGTGGTGTTGTAAAACCCCGAGTTAAGTATACGTCTTTCCTACATCCAAATGATGTAGGACGCTCCCATCTACGAGCTGCACATCATCTCTGTAGTCCCCGCATCGCCCGCTTTTGAGATGGACCATTGCACATTTGTCTATCCCGAATTTCATACCGATAGCATGCGTGTACTCTTCCACCACCCTCAAGGACTGATGGAGATCCTTCTCTCCAGAGGCATAAAGTTCAAGATCATCCATATAAAACAAATGGGTGACCTTGCCTCCGGTTTCCGAGGGGGCCACAGTTATACCCTCGAGTATTTCTGAGCGCAATTGGGTGATGAGTTGGTAGGAGATAGAGTTTCAGGGGTTGCATAGTCTGAGATAAAAAATGATGTGTCGATCGAAGTAGTAGTTTCAGGAACAGGCGAGGAAGTTGAAAAAACAGTAGTTGAAGTGTACGTTGAAGAACTGTCAGGTTCTAAAGTTTCTGGTCTAGGAGTTTCAGCAGATGGAGGATCACTGGTCAGATTAGAAGTATCGGAATCTGATGTATCTGTTACAATTTCAGAAGGTTCAGATGTTTCAAAATCTGATGTTTCTCTTGCAGAATCAGACGGTTCAGATGTTCCAAAATCTGGTATTTCTGTTGCAGAATCAGACGGTTCAGATGCTTCAGAATATGATGTTTCTGTTGCAGAATCAGGTACGGAGGTTTCAAAATCTGATGTTTCTGTTGCAGAATCAGACGGTTCAGATGCTTCAGAATATGATGTTTCTGTTGCAGAATCAGACGGTTCAGATGCTTCAGAATATGATGTTTCTGTTGCAGAATCAGGTACGGAGGTTTCAAAATCTGATGTTTCTGTTGCAGAATCAGACGGTTCAGATGCTTCAGAATATGATGTTTCTGTTGCAGAATCAGGTTCGGAGGTTTCAAAATCTGATGTTTCTGTTACAATATCAGAAGGTTCAGATGTTTCAAAATCTGATGTTTCTGTTGTAACATCCGAAGGTACAGATGTTTCAAAATCTGATGTTTCTGTTGCAGAATCAGAAGGTTCAGATGTTTCAGAATCTAATGTTTCTGTTGCGTTATCAGAAGGTTCAGAGGTTTCAAAATCGGATGTTTCTGTTGAAGAATCAGAAGGTTCAGATGTTTCAGAATCTGATGTTTCTGTTGCAGAATCAGAAGGTTGAGATGTTTCAACATTCAATGTTTCTGTTACAACATCAGAAGGTTCAGGTGTTTCAAAATCTGATGTTTCTGTTACAGAAGTTTGGTTTTCAGAAGTTCCAGTTTCAGGTATTTTCGACTCTGATATTTCTGTTGAGGTTCCATAAGTTCCAGATGTCCGACTTTCAGAAGTTGATATTTCTGTTATTATAATATCAGGCCTCGAAGAACTAATACTTGAAGTGGTAGGAAATGGGGTAGATTCTATTAGTGTATCATTATCTTCAGGTAGTTCACTAGTTGAAGAAATTCGGTTTGGAGATGTGGTTAAACTCTCAGGAACTGAAGTTGGAAGAGTGGTTAATAGGGTAGTCGAAGGAGTATTGACAGAGGTCGTGCTTGGCGTACTTGGAGTACATCCTGCTGCTCGTGGCCAATCGCATACATGAATTTTAGGGTTGAAATGAGTGCCAGGCGCGCAGCTCATGACTTGTTTGCCCCATGGTGCACAAACGAAAAATTTCGTGCAATCCGTTGGGTGTGGAAATGGTAGAGTCTGTCTACAAACAGGGTATCTGTAGAAAGCTGTGAAAAAAGTACAGATTAGTTTTTCACTAAGGGTGATTGTAAAGTGGTGTAAGGAACGAAATGCCACTGTTGAAACTTTCACTATCGAGTTATTTTTTATTCATAATTCTTTTTTTCATTGTGTACTTTTCAACAGATTACACAACACAACAAAGTTTTTATTTCGGGGTTGAAATTAGATGATTTTAATGTATTTCCACGTGTTAAAACCGATATAGTATCATTATATTATATATATATATGTATATTGAGTTTTCAACAAATGAAATATTTCATCACCAACAGTTGGTACACATTGTACGCACGTGGTTGCTATTGAAATTATCGTGTGAAGTTGATTTTTAAATTAATTTAAGTGCTGATCTGAAATGCCTCGAAAGTGTGTGAATTCTGTCGATAGCTTTTGCTATATATGAATTAATTTAAGTGCTGATCTGAAATGCCTCGAAAGTGTGTGAATTCTGTCGATAGCTTTTGCTATTTATTTTGGTGTATAACATTTAAGGGCTTCGACCAAAATATGACGNTTAAAATAAATAATCAAAATGGACTACGAACAAAATGAAAAAATAAAGTAAAGTAACTTGGTTCGAAATCTTCTCATATTTCATTTTTTTATTTTATTAGTTTTCTATTTTTATTTTTATTTCTATTTATTTATTTTCATTCTGTTTTATTTCTTTTTACTCTGTGATTATTTTCATCTTGATTATTTCATTTTATTTGATTTATTGTATTTCTATATCACGTTTTAAGGCTTATATATAATTGATAGTTTAGCTATTCATACCAATTGTTTTGTCCTTTCTTCATCATACATTTCGCATCATATTAAACAATGAAAGTACGAACTAATAGAATTATTTAATGCTATTTCTCCTTACTAGGATTAATGTAGTACGTGTTGATATTTTTTAATCAGTTGTATACATCAATCACTAATTATAAAATATTTTTTCCAAAATTCATTTTCAAAGCACAAAACTATTGAATTATATTCGTAGCAAGATAATGAATAATAAATATTACTATATGCTCAATTTCCTTCTTAGCTTTCAAAATGTTTTCTGAACTCATTTTTTTATGAAAAATAAATTGAATATTCACGGTATGAAAGACAGTCACTTCAAAAACGGACACCTGAACAAATTCTAAAAACTATGGAAATCCTTACGTTTGCTGCAGACACCTGCGAAAATTGCTAACAAAACAAAACCAATGTACATTTTATGTGATATGAAACTAAATGAAGGTATACTACGACATGAAATTTATATTTATATCCTCATCATATCTCATCACCGAGAGATATGAGCGAAAAATTAACTTTCCATAGAAAAGTTAATCCACAAAGAAAATTATTCGATTACAAGCTTCCTTCTGAGAAAAATTGAGATGCACAGTGTACAGGTCGATAATAATATTTAGGAAGGACTACGCAAATCAGGAAATAAATATTTTTATCAATAAGATATGTCCTGATAAATGGAATTTGGAGCTTCTGACTTAAAATTAATCTACCAAAAACACTGTTTTCTTATGAGAACAAAAATACTAGCAATCAGTCTTAGTCATCCCCTGATGATAACTTGGTTAGTGAAACGCACGTAGAGAGAGACAGTATTTTTGTTCCGGTGTTGGAAAACTGTTTCAATTAGGAGATATGTTTCCTTCGATGTTTTCTAGGTTATTAACCTAGCTCAATCTGAAAAATAAATAGATCTACAACAACATAGAATCTACTCCAATGTAATAAAGGGGTAACTGAAAAGTTCCCTTCGAAAATATACCTTTTTTCAGGACAAAACACAAGCACTACAGGAAAATAATTGCGGCTCTCTAAGAGTGGTGCCTATGCAAAAGTAGCGATTCACGTTGGATTTAATTCGCTGGAGACTGAATTCATTTGGAAAAACGTTCTCAGGAAGTTTATTCCACGTAAATGTAGTTCTCCGAATGAAAGAGTTCTTGAACAGTGAAGTTCGAGGTGTACTGAGTTGAACCTCGAAACGATGAGCAGCAACAGTCCGTCGCGTATTTCTGATATGTACCGCTCTTAGTGGAATCAAATGAATCAAGTCACTTGAACACCTTCGATTGATAGTATCAATAAGAGATTCACTCTCACATAAGTTATCCGCATTTAGGTGGATGGTACACAGAGCTTTCGCAATCTCTTCACCTGAAAAGAATTTCCAAGATGAACTAAAAGCAAATTGCAGTAAACAATCACGTACCAATTTCTCTAATAGAGAAAATAATATCGGGTAAAGCTCACAAAACACTTATGAGTAGGTAAATTATACCCAAACTGCCAAGAACACAATATAGTTGAATATAGTAGAATCAACTACACAGGTAAACTTTCAGAAAATATTCAAAATTATTTCTCAAAATTCAAATTATCAGCATATTTCATAAGTAATAATAATTTAGGCAGAACTCTGTTTAATGCAAAACCCAAACGAGATAGAATGAAAAAATCAGATATACTGCTCTGCAGTATATACAGGCAAAACGGGTAGAAATTTTGACATAAGGCTGCGTGAACACGTCTGTTTGGACAAAAAATCTACAATGTATGAACATCTTCAAGAATCAAAACACAAAATAAGTAAAGATATGTACAAATATGTAATAAAGGGAAAAAATGAATGTGTTGGAAGCCATGGAAATAAACAAATCCATAAAAAACCAGAAATATATACTCCTAAACGAGCAACTTGAGTTATGTAGGTCTCCAGTCTTGAATTAATAAGTTTAACAACTCCTATACTCTTCAGTGTTGAATTTTAAAGTTGACACCCTGGTTCATACAACTACCTGTCGTTCATATGACGTTGGCCAGGCCATCACTGGCCAAGCACTATATGTGCATGATTATAATAATAATAATAATATTTATTTGACTACGTTACATAATACAATATGTTTGTAGCAAGGCATGTTTGGCTTTACATTTAAAATTCACAAGTTAAAATTTACACAACAATCACATATGTAAAAACTTTGAAAATCAAAAAGAAGTAGTGACTTGTATGTTACCACAAAAATGTGTTCTGAAGTCATCGACAGAATAGAAGCAATGCCTTATCAAATAATTTTTCAATTTTCTCTTGTATATGTTAAGACTGAGTTCTTTGAAATCTTGGGGCAAAATATTGTACAGAGAGTAATCCATAGAATTTTTTTGCGACAAGTGAAGACGAAATCGATTTATTCTAATGTGGTGAGCGTTTCGTGTGTTATGTTCGTTCGTGTGTTATGTTCGTGGATATGACATTGTTTCTTGTCTCGCCAAGGATGGTTTCTTCTTTTGGATTTCAATCAAAACGTAATAGAGAAATAAAGTTGGCAATGGCATAATTCTAAGTTTTTGGTTTATATTCTTGGCAGTAACCCCTGTATCCAATATTAGCCGGCATTCTCAATGCCTTCTTCTGCATCCTAAATATTTGAATGGAATGACATGAATTTCCCCAAAGTTGTACAACATAAATAATATGACAGTGAAACAGTATATTTGCACTAGTGAAGTACTTCAATTGGCGATGAACAAATAGTGAACCCGAGAGTTTTCTCTTCAGTTGAGAAATATGTGCAGAACGGTTTAGTCCATTATCTAATTTAATATCCAGTAATTTAACTTTATTAGTTTCACAATCAGAGATAATTTGATTATTAGCAGAAATCTGGATGTATTGTGTTTTCTGACAATTTAGTTTTAGCTTATTAGAAAGAAACCACTGATTAGCACTATTAGATACCTCGTCGAGATGAGACTGTAACATATCATTATTTTTATCTTACAGAATGAAAGTGGTGTCGTCCGCAAAGAGAACCGATTTGAACGGTATCATATGTTTGCACAAGTCATTCACTTAAATGACAAATAAGAGCGGACCCAAAACAGTCCCTTGCGGAACGCCATGCTTAATAGTTTGAGAGTTTGATAAGGTACCGTTGAGCATCACTGCTTGTTAACGATTTGTAAGATAGGTTCTTATTACGTGAAGCGGAATACCCCTAACTCCGTAATAGTTTAATTTTTCCAATAGAATTTCATGTGAGACGCAGTCGAACGCTTTTGACAAGTCACAAAGTATCAACGCAGTGTGATTGCCCTGCTCAAGTTCCTCAATCACGCCAGACACGACGTCGAATACTGCATCTATTGTTGAGCGCGACTTTCTGAAACCATATTGTGAGTTGCTGAAAAATGTATTATTTTCAAAGTAGACATAGAGCTGAATTTTAATTATAATTTCAACCACTTTACTGAATATTGAAATAATAATTATTCGTCTGGAGTTATCAATGGCTTTTTCATCACCTTTTTTAAAAATGGGCACTACTTTAGAAGACTTGAAGATATCTGGAAATATACCGGTACATAAGATTTAATTGATCAGTATAGTAAGAGGTTGCATTATTATAGACGAGGTTTCATTTAGTATTCGACTATTGAGTTCATGGGTATCTGAACATTTGGAGTCTTTTAGTGAATTAATCGCTTCCAAAATGTCTATCTCATGCACGGGTCGGAAGAAAAATAACTTACACGGAGCAGGAAATTTTTTAAAACTAAAAAGCTCCTCGTTTGCAACATATGGGAGAGAATTAATGATAATATCAGCAATGGTACTGAAAAAGTTGTTCATCTCATCGGATGATAGTTTGATTGTTGGTTTCGAATCGTATTTATTTCTCTAGAAATTTATTATTTTCCAGCAAGCTTTAGATTTATTATTGGACAAAGAAATGTATTCATCATACGCCATTTTTTTAGCGGTTCATTACCATATTCTTTCTTGACCTGTTTGTATGCCATGAAACCATTTGGGGTCTTGGTTTTGTCTGCTATTTGTTTGAGGCTGTGCATATTATTTCTTAACAATCTCAGATCATCTGAAAACCATTGAACCAATGATTTGTTCGCTTTTCGTTTACATTTTTTCAGAGGAAAAAGTTTTAATGTGAGAGTGTTATAATTGTTGACTAAGAAATTTGCTAAAAAATTTGGATCAGTTTGGTCGCTAAAAAATATTTGCCAATTAATATCACATAATTTTTAAGCCTAGTAATTAGTGGTAAGTAGACAAAAGTGTTATTCTTCATTTCATTAAAGTAACAAAAGAGGGACAAATCTCCAACCTTTCTTCGATTTTCCAGACTATCAAGGTTGCAAGTGATGTTCGCGTCTCCAATCAGGCGGAGGACTCTTTTCTGGATGAAATCCAGCAGCTTCAGGGTATGCTTATACGAAGCTTAGAGCTCCATACATGAGAATAATACTCCAAAGAAAGTCTGATCTGTGCTTTATAAAACATCAAAAGTTGCTGAGGTGTGTACAGTTTTCTGGTTCGGAACAGTGTTCCAAGCTTTTGACATATTGGTGTCCATTTTAACCCCCAATAAACTTAACGAAGCAGAAAGTGGAATTGACATTATAACCGGTTCGGAACCGTTTATTTTTTTTGAGAAAACCGATTCCTGGGTTTTTGTGACATTGAATTGAACCTGGTTATTTTCACCCCAATTCGAAATCACCTCTAGATCCCCATTAAGATATGCAACCTCCTGCTGTCGGTGAAGATGTGCATCCGCAGTTGATGTCCTGAAATCCAAGTATGCTGTCATCAGCAAAGCTAATATTGAATTCTTGTTTTTTTTTTTCAGTGAGTCGTTGATATACAATAATATGAGAGTTGGAGACAATATGGCTTCCTGGGTAATACCAGCGTTGATGATAAAAGTATTTGACGGCCATTTGCTGGAAACGTTTTTTCAAGAAGTTGGAGAGCCATACAGAAAAATGATTCAACAAGCCATAGCTTCGAAGTTTGGCCAGCAAACCCTCATGCCACACACGGTCAAAGGCCTTAGAAATATCAAACACATCATCTCTTGTCTCTCCATGTTTCTCGATTGCGTTATTCCAAATAGGGGTGACATATGATAGAGGGTCGCCTGTTGATCTTTGTTTTCTAAAGTCATATTGATGATCGCTAAAGATCATCAATATGCTCATTCATTGGCGCACTTTTTAAGTACGATGACGGGCACTTCATCAAGACCAGACGCCTTGTTGATATTGAGCTGTTTCAAAATTCCCCTGACTAGATCGACGCAGTCGAAAAGTAATTTCCGGCATGGTGGTTTCCAATTTGGGAATAGTGGGTGATGCCTTTCCCAGAAAATCGACTGTGGAGTGGAACGCAAGTTGTTCAGCTAGTAGATTTGCTTATTACTGCGTAATATCAACCTCTGGAGAGTCCAA